CGCCGCGGGCGCCGGGGGCGGCCGGCGCCGCCCGCGCCCTGCCGGGCGCTGAAGAGGCGGAGGCTGCCGCCGTGCACATGGTGGCGGCGGCCCGGCAGCGGCGGCAGCCGCACCACCCGGCCGCCGCGCTGGCCGTGCAGGCGGCGGCGGCGGCGGCCGGCGGCGGCGCCGGCGGCGGCGCCTCTTCCGATCCTTACAGGTGCGGCGCCGCCGGCCCGGCTGCCTGGCAAGCACTGCTGCCTGCAGCCGCCGCCACCCCGGAACATGCGAGCCACCCGCTGCCTGTCGCCACCGTCGCCGTGCTGCACCCACGCTTCGGCGCCGGGCATGCGCCTACCCTCCCCGTGCCGCAGGTTCCCCAGCGGCAGCAGCGGCGCCGACCAAAACGCCGACGTCGGCAACATGCCGCGGCCCCGCTCCCCCGCCGGCGCCACCCCCCTGAGCCCCGCCAAGCGGCGGCGGCTCAGCGGCGGCCGCATCGGTGCGCCGCCTTCGGCGCCCGCCCCGCGGCCGGCTGGGCCGGCAGGGCCTGCGGTGGCGGCGCCGGCGGCCCAGCCTGCCGCCAATGCTGCCTTTGTGGCGGCGGCGGCGGCGGCGGTGCAGGTGGTGGCGGCGCAGGAGGCGCCGGCAGCCGCACAGCCCCCTCCCGCCTTCGGCTGGCGGCGGCGGCGGTGCCAGCAGCAGGAGGAGTCGGAGGGAAAGGAGGAGGAGGAGGAGGAGGCAGCAGAGGGTGCGGTTGGCGGCGCCGCTGCCGAGCCAGGCCTGCTGGTCACCATGCTGCCGCATCCGGTGGTGCAGACCGCACCCGATGCTGCTGGCTGGGAGGGCGAGGAGGCGGCCGGTGCCGGTAGCGGCGGGCGGCCAGGCCGTGGCACCAAGAAGCCGGCTCGCTTTGCGGGCAGCCCGGCCCAGCCGCCTGCCAGGCTGCGCCAGCGCCAGGCGGCGGCAAGAAGGAGCAGCAGGCGCAGCAGCAGCAGCAGGCGAGCGGCCGGCAGGCGGGGCGCAAGCGCGGCGCGCGTCGCTGCGGCCGCACCCGGCCACGCGCCGCCTCCTGGCCCTGCCGCCAGGCAGGCGCAGCACGCGGCCAAGCGGCAGCGCACCACCCCTGTGGCCGGCGCGGCAGCTGCGGCGCAGGTCACCCCGCCAGCTGCGGCTCCGCTGCTCGATAGCGAGGAGCAGACGCTGTCCGAGGTGGGCTGGGGGCCTGGCAGCCCCAGGAGTCCTGCAGGCTGTTGGCTTTGCAGCTGCCAGGCATGGCTACACCGCCTTGCACCCCTGCCCTGCACCTACCGCTGGCGGCTCCTCACCCCATGCATGCCTGCTGCCTGCCTCCCCCCTCGCCGCCGCCCCCTTCCCGCCTGCCGCAGTATGTGCGCACCCACCCTCGGTCCCTGGGCTGCAGCAAGTGCCGGTACCAGCGCGGCGGGTGCGGCAAGTGCAGGGCAGATGCCGCGGCCGCGGCGCTGACCCCCAAGGGCGGCAAGACCGTGCCGCGCGAGAAGCCGCAGCAGCAGCAGCAACGGCAGCAGCACAGCACCGCGGCGGCAGCGGCGGCCGGCGGCGTGAGCCCCGCAGGAGGCCACCCGCCACCTCAGCGCCGTCGCCGCCAGGAGCGGCAGGAGCAGGCGGAAGGGGAGGCAGGGGGCGGGGAGGGCGGCGCGGGGCCGGCCACGGAGAGCCTGGTCAGCGGCCAGCCGCCGGCGGCAGGCCCCAGCCCCTCTGCCGCCACTCGGCGCAAGTCTGGCGTCGGCGCGGGCCCGGGTGTGTGGCCAGCCGCGGCCCGCACCATCCAGCGGGCTGCTTGGCGGCCGATTTGGCTTGCCAGCGATCAAGCCGCGTGGGTGCCCCCGCCTGGCCCTCCGTCACTGAATGAATGCCTTCTGACCTTCCCTCGCCTCCCGCCCCTGCAGGCCGGTGCTTTGAGGGCTGCGTGTTTTTGGTGACTGGCTTCAACGACGCGGCGGCGGCCAAGGCGCGCGTGCTGGCAGCGCTGCGGGAGGGCGGCGCCGCCGTGCTGGACGCCGTGCCCGACCCGCCCACGCAGGCACGCTGGCAGGAAGCGGGGCGGAGCTGCGGCTCTGCCTTTATGGAGGGGCAGCTGTGCCCGCACCCGGCTGCTCTGTGCCCTTGCCAGCCTGTCCCTGACCTGGCAGCAGCAACACCCCATCCCCTCCCACCACACCATGTTACCACACCACACCATCACCAAACCGCTGCGCCTCCCCTGCTGCAGGCGACCGCGGCAGGGCGGCGGCAGTCGGCGGGGGCTCGCCAGCTGGCGCTGCAGCCCTGCGTGACGGCCGTGGTGAGCGACCGCAAGGCACGCACCCCCAAGTTCATCTATGCCGCCATTCGCGGCCTGCCGGTGGTGCAGCCCGCCTGGGTGCTGGCGTGCACCAAGGCCCAGAAGCAGGTGGGCCGCCGCCGCCGCCGCCGCTGTTTTGCTGCCCTGCTGCTGCTGCTGCTGCTGCTGCTGCTGCTGCTGCTGCTGCTGCTGCTGCTGCTGCTGCTGCTGTGCTGGTTGGGTCCGAGCCGTTGCTGCTGACCAGGCTGCATCTGGCTGCTGCTCCTGCCCCACCCGCCCCGCAGCTGCCGATGAAGAAGGGTGTGCACCTGCTGTGGCAGCCGGCGGCCCCGCAGCCCGGCGGCGGCTCGCCCCCCGGCATCTTTGCGGGGCTGCGCGTCTGCATGCTCTGGCCTCGCCACCTGGACTGCAAGGCGCAGTCCCTGGGGCTGCTGCTGCGGCACGCCGGTGAGAGGGCCGCCGCCCAGTGCACTCAATCCAGTGCTGGGGAGCGACCGCTCTGCGCCCCCCCACTTGCACAAGCCTGCCCGACTCCCTGCGCACCCGCGCCCCTGCCTGCAGGCGCCACGCTGGTGCCGGGGCTGGAGGAGCAGGGCCCCGGCGGCGGCGGCCAGCCCGCCTGCGACCTGCTGCTGCTAGATGAAGAGGACTGGCTGGATGAGGCGGCGGGGCCGGGCGGCAAGAAGCTTGCGGGCGACATGCTGCGCCTGGCGCGCCGCCTGGGGGTGCCCGCACACAAGCGGGAGTGGGCGATCGAGGCGGGTGGCAGCGGGTGATGGGCAGCCGCTGCTGTGTGTGTTCCTTGTCATGCTGCTGGGGGTGGTGGGCTGACATGCTCTGCTGCTTATCTGTCCGCCCGATGCCCTGTGTACCGCAGGCAATGATGGACGGCAGGCTGCCGGATGGGTTTGCTGGCGCCGCCACCACCCCCGCCCAGCCCAAGCGGCCGCCGCCGCCGCGGGGCGCGCACAGCGGCAGCGGCAGCGGCGCGGGGAGCGTGCCCCAGGCCACCGCAGCGGCGGGGCCGGCCCTGGCCAAGCAGCCGCTGCCGAGCATTGGGCACATGGCTGCGGCGGCGGCGGGCGCGGCGGTGGCTGCCACCGCTGCGGCCATTGTGGCGGGGGCTTCCCCGCGCGGCACGAAGCGGCCCAGAGCCACGGCAGAGCAGCAAAGTGCGCAGCAGCAGCGGCGGCAGGAGCACGAGGCAGGCGGCAAGCAGGCGGCGCCGCGCAGCCCCCGGCGGCAGTCGTCGGCGGCTGCGGTCGTGGGGCTGGGCTGGGCTGGGCAGCCGCAGGAGCCGCCGCCGCCCATGCGTGCCTCGCTGCACCGCTGCTACTACCCAGCCTTCCTCAAGGCAAGCGGGGTGTTTCCGGGGCAGGACTGGAAGCTGGGCTGGAAGCTGGGGTGGGAGGTGGACATGCTGCACGTGGCATGGGGCCAGTGGTACCTGATGCCTGCCCTCTCAGCGGCAGGTACCTGCGGTACCGACTCCTGGGCCGCCCGTCGCGCCCGCCGCCCGCAGGGTGGCGAGCGCATCGAGCTGGGCGGCTTTGCCGAGGCGCGGCTGGCGGGGGAGGAGGGGCCGTGCGTGGTGCAGGTGATGGCGCTGTGGGGTGAGGAGCCGGGCCACATGTACGCGCGCCTCAGGCGCTTCTACCGACCCCAGGTGCGTGGCTGTGTGTGCTTGGGGGGGTGGGGGGGAGGTACTGCGTTGCTGTGCAGCTGGATGCGTGGAACCACGCCCTGCCACCCTCTGCTGCCTGGCCGCGCCTCCAGCCGTGCCTTCCAAGGCAGCCACCCAGCCGCCCTGGCCGCCCCGCTCGCCCGCCCTGCAGGAGACGCCCCTGCCGGCGCTGGGCGGCCCGCGCCAGCTCTTCCGCTCAGACCACACCTACGACCGCGTGTCGCTGACCACGGTGCTGCGCAAGTGCCGCGTCACGCTGCCCGGGGGCGCGGGGGCGGCGGCGGAGCCAGGGGTGGGGGCTGGGGAGGCGGGGGGGCACCCCAGCTACGTGTGCGTGGCGCAGCTGGATCACGAGGTGATGCTGGTGGGCGCGCTGCCGCCAGACTGCGGCATCCCGGCGGGCGGCGGCGGCGGCGCGGGCTGCTGACGCCCCTGGAGCCCCATGTGTATGCATGACCGTGTTCATTGTTGGCTGTGTTGTGCGCCCTTCGTGAACAAACGGAAGTTGCTTAGGCAAGGGAGGTGGGAGGACAGGACTGAGCTTTCTAGCCGTCCCCAGGGCCACATGCCCAATGGCCAGGCATGGTTTAACACGTCTCTCTCATTGAGTAGGCGGAGAGCCGAGATCCTTCAGCCTCCAGACAGTGCTCTGCTTTGCCTTCCTCTGTAAGACCAGACACTAGGCATAGGGAGCCTCGGCCTGCTCTATTCCCCCTCCTCCCTCTCTAGAGTAGCCCAGCATGAGCAGCCAGGTGCAGCCAGGGCAGCCAGACAGCCCTACCCTAGGTGCAGAGGCAGGCCAGGCGCGCTCCTGGCTGCCAGTTTCCATGCAAGAGGGGCGCAGCATAGCAGCAGGCGACGAGGGTGGTCTCCTGCTGGAAGCGCTACACCCCGAGGCGACGGTGCGCGGCGACGGCGCCAGCGGCGGCTGCGTCATCGGCCTGCGGTGCGCCCACACCCCGCCTGCCAGCCTGTTTGAGGTTGCCATCGGCAAGGTGCGGAGGGGGAGGGCCTCCAAGGTTGTTCCAAGGTTTCTCCTGCAGCGCAGCAAAGCAGGGCACCCGCCTTCAGTCGTGCCGCCGCCCCACGCTCGATCCGCCCCCTACCGTGCAGCTGCGGTGCCGCCGCTTCCTGGCACTCAGCCGGGCCAAGCTGTACTGGATGGTACCGCAGTGGGGCGCCTCTGCAGAGCAGGTGCCGGTCGAGACGCAGCTGCTGCTGCTGGAGCTGGAGGTGAGGCAACGGCGGCCGCGGCAGCTGCCCTGCCCAGCCGTTGAGCCCGGGCTGGCTGGCCTACGTCTGCTGCACAGGAGCAATATATTCGCCAGCGTTGCTGCCTCTTCCGGTTTCCGGCAAAGTGCAGGGCGGCGCCGGCTACGGCCTGCTGGCGCCCCTGATCGACCGAGATGCCTTCCGCACCTCGCTGCGCCCGCCGCGCCGCCGCGCGCACCCCGCCGGCAGCCTGCTGGTGCGTGTGGAGAGCGGCGACGAGTCGGTGCGCGACAACAGCTTTTCGGGTGAGAGGGGCGAAGAGCGGAGCTTGCAGTCAGCAGGCTCGGCGATGGGGGCAGGGAACATACCAGCCGGAAGGAGTGGAGCAGCGCTCGCCAGCTGGCCAGCGCCTGCTGCCCTGCACTCGTGCCTTGCAGGCGTGCTGCTGGCCGCCGGCGGCACCGACCCATTTGAGCTGCTGGACCGAGGAGTGGCGGCTGCGTGTTGCCCCCTGATGTGGCACCCTCCCGATTGGGCAACCCCCGCCCCCGCTCCCTCCTGGCAGCCCGCGCGGCGCTCCCCTCCCATACGTGAACTGACCCCATATAGCCCTGTTTGAGGGTTGAGCGGGGCGGAGCGGGGCTGCTTGCACACGTGATGGCATGCACGCTTCAACGCTCCCGCTGTCATCTCACCTCTCTAGCGTCAGAAATACAACTCTTACAAGCCAACCAACACGAACAGAGAGACCGAACAACAGAAATGAACAGGAAATATGAAGCCGCCACAGGCGGCAGCACCTTCCAGCGGAGACGGCAAAGCGTACAAGGCACACTTTTTCAATGGTTCTTGCAATTGCCACCCTTACCGGTTATACAGCCACAGTGCCGCCCACACCGCGCACCATTCTTCTTGCAGCTGCAGTTCCGGGTGCAGGCGCCGCGGCAGCCGCAGCGCAC